TCCCTCCATCACCAAGCTCCATGTTCCCCCTCGCCCCTCCCTCCATCACCAAGCTCCGTGTTCCCTCTTACCTCATCCCTCCATCACCAAGCTCCGTGTTCCCCCTCGACCATCCCTCCATCACCAAGCTTCATGTTCTCCTCTTTGCTGCTTCACTGATTTTCATGGTCTCTCTCCCCAGCTTGCATGACTGTACTTGGGGAAAAAAAAATCCCCAATTTGAATACTTAGTTATGTCATACTATCAACCCAATTTAACACTTTCTCTCTACAGTATCCACACCTTTTGGTTTCTTTCAGGGTGGGAGACTACACTGGAAAACAAACAGTTAACTCCAAACTCAGACACTCCTGAGGAAGAACCAGGCCATGACCTGAAAGTGGAAGAATTTTCAAAGGCTGACGCCTGGTCCTCTACCTCAGGGGCCGTCCTGCAGGGTGGGGTCCCAGAAGTCTCAGACGCAACGTTGAAACACGTGGGGTCTGCTCAGGAAAAAATCGTTCCTCAGAGGCGGCACTGTGAACGCCCCAGATCCCAGGTAACCACGGGTCTTGACGCGAACCACGTTTCACCCCAGAAAACTCTTCCTAGAAAACGCTTGCGCAAGCGTGGCTCGCGGGTTAAAAAGATGATGCCTAATCCACATGTGAAAATTCGTCAGAAGAAGAAAGGAGAAAAGGCTGGGGAGAGCAGTGGCTGTGGGAGGACCATTGGCCGGAGCGCCCTGCAGATCACGTTCACGAGGATCCACAAGGGGAGTCAGGTGTGCCGGTGCAGTGAATGTGGCAAAACGTTCCGGAACCCGAGATACTTTTCTGTGCATAAGAAAATCCACACGGGAGAGAAGCCCTACGTGTGTCAGGACTGTGGGAAAGCGTTTGTTCAGAGCTCCTCCCTCACACAGCACCAGCGAGTTCACACTGGAGAGAGACCATTTGAGTGTCGTGAGTGTGGGAGGACCTTCAATGACCGCTCGGCCATCTCCCAGCACCTGCGGACTCACACCGGAGCCAAGCCCTACCAGTGTCAGGACTGCGGAAAAGCCTTCCGCCAGAGCTCCCACCTCATCAGGCATCAGAGGACTCACACTGGGGAGCGCCCCTACACGTGTAGCAAGTGCGGAAGGGCCTTCACCCAGAGCTCACACCTCATTGGGCATCAGAAAACGCACAGCGGGGTGAGATGTAAAAAGAAACGGCCGACCTCATAGCCCGCCACCGGCGGAAGGTATGCTGCCTTTTCAACCCGATCCTGCAATTGTAACATGAATGGGCCTGGTTGGGGTCGGAACTGAATGTGGAAAGAAGCATTGAGTGATGTTCTCAAGACAAAAGGACAGCCAGGGAGACCGCCCTGCACATGAGTATGTAAGAAACTCAGGAGAAGTTGTTGCTGATGAATGTAACAGTTGGAAAAACATTAATTTTTCACTCAGTTGATTTGTTATAATTTGTTCATTTGGTCATTAAAAGTGATATTAATGAAACCTGCAAATGCTTATTATAATGTAAGTTTAAAGATTCTGGTACCAAAAAATCTGTGCACTGATATTATATTTGTGATAAAGTATTTATGTGTTTGGGCAAGGACTAAAAGAGAACATGGATAAATAAACTATATATTTCTGTGGTAGAATCTGTGTGTGTGTTTTCCCACCTGTTTAATTAAATATCTTCTCATTAATTTGGTATTTAAAATAAGCAACGTTAAAACAAAAGGAAAGGGATGGTCAGACCAGTTCTGGCAGATTTCATGCAAGACTGCAGCTTCTCCAGCCCAAGATTCCAAGTGAGTCAGATGCGCAGATCATTCCGTTCCGTAGGGCGTCATGAGATATGTTTGGGAGCAGGGAATGGGAACCTTGAGGAGCCGTTGGAGGCCTAGAGGGCTGGAAACCCTAGGCCGGCATGGGGCCTTCCTGGGGATGTGCGGTTGCTTCACATTTCCACTTTTCCTCAGGGGCTCCTTCAAGGGAGGGAGCTACCCTCGCCAGGTGCCCATCACCAAGTTAAGCAACAAGACACTGGCAGTACTAGGCCGTGTATTTGATGCCCATGTTACACATGAAATGACAGATTAAAATTCTTTCTCCAGGTCACAGTCTATATAGCCTGGAACCCATTCCATCCCTTGCTCCTTGACTCCACGTTTGCTCTCTTGAGTTCTGCATAATATTTCAGAACATTTTCTAAAACTCCAGCCTCTTTCACGCCTTCAGGGTGGTGCTGATGAGAGCGAGGTGCAGTCCTGCCTCCGGTGAGTGCGCCTCACTCCTTTCCCTGCAGAGTGAGCGGCCCTGGGAGGCAGGACTAGAGACGCCCGAGGCCAGGTGCGTGGGGAAGATGAAGACAACACCCGCAGCCCTGTTGCTCCTCACGCACTGGGCGTAGGGCTCATGGCTGCTGTCTCACATTTAGTCATCTTTTCCACAGCCCAATGGTGGCACGTTAACTTCTTTGAAAGATGAGAACACCTGGGGTTGAACTTGCCCAGGGTCTGCCTGCCTTCCCACTGCATAAGGTGGAGGTCTTTCCGGGGAGGGAACAGTTTTCCATGGAGAACAGCAGCTCTTTCTCCAAGGCCTGACAATGTAGAGATATCCATTCACATGGGGAGTGGCCTCATCATGGTGCCCAGTGCCTGCTGGGGAGGCCCACAGCCATGTCCTCAGGCGAGGTCACTTCCTGAAAAGTCACACTGACTTGTTGCCAGAAGACGGTTCCTGGAGAAGGTGAACTGACTGCTTTTCCATCTGTGACAGTTTCAAACAGTGCTACACGTGCCCAGCCATTCCTCCTTCCTGGAATCTGGCCAGGCTTGTGACTGCTTCCACCAATAGTGCTGGCAGAAGTCACACCATGTGACTTCCATGAGATGAGGTCATAAAGGATGCTGAGGGCTTGTTTCCTCAGTGATATGAGAAGCAGGATCGTCAGCTGAAACTGACTGGGCTGCAGGATGTTGGCAGTAAGGAGAGAAGAGTGACGTTGTCCCCTCAGAGCGAGGTGAATGGATGGGGATGGTCTTGCCCAGCAGCTCCCCCAGGGCCCCTGAGGTTTGAGGGTCACTTGCTGAAAGGCGAGCTTGTTGGCCTGGTTGTGTGTCTTACCAGCTTTGTTCTGGTGTCCGTGAGCAGATGAGTGGAAATTTGGCCTTAACTGGGAGTGAGATTTCTTTTAAACTTAATTCACTTAATTTTTGTGTGTATGTGTGAGGAAGATCAGCCCTGAGCTAACGTCCATGCTAATCCTCCTCTTTTTTTTTTTTTTTTTTGCTGAGGAAGACCGGCTCTGAGCTAACATCTATTGCCAATCCTCCTCTTTTTTTTCCCCCAAAGCCCCAGTAGATAGTTGTATATCATAGTTGCACATCCTTCTAGTTGCTGTTAACTTAATTTTAAAGAATGTAATTCCGTGGTTTTTAGTATATTGAGAAGGTTGTGCAACCATCACCACTATCTAATTCCAGAACATTTTTGTCGCCCCCAAAAGAAAACCCTATACCCATGAACAGTTACTCTATTTGTTTCATCTGCCCCTGGAACCACTAATCTACTTTCTGTCTTTGTGGATTTGCCTATTCTGGACATTTCGTATAAATGGAATCATACAACATATGGCCTTCTGTGTCTGCTGCTTTCACTGAGCATAATGTCTTCAAGATTCATCTATTTTGTGGTACACATCAGAACTTCATTCTTTTTTATAGTCCGTTGTATGGCTAGAGCACATTTTGTTTATCCATTCATCAGTTGATGGATATTTGGGTTGGGATTTTGCCCTAAAATTATGATGGAAGGAGAGAAGGGCAAGGGAAAATTGTGATGGGTCATGAATCTAAAAAGGTGAGGGACAACCGTGAAAAGGCAGCTGGATGAGCATCCTGGAGATGCTAGTGGGGTTGACAAGTGTTTGGAGTGAGGGTCCCAGGGAAAGGGAACCAGGAAGGAGGTGGTGGGACGGGCACTGGGTGGACCTGGGAAGTAGTCCTGCAGGGCTAAGGGGTGCAGGTGTGGAGGCAGGTGAAGGAAGTGCGCTCGGAGCATGATCACAGGTGGGAGGTGGGGTGTTGCATGAACCTCTGCATGTGAATAGACATCTATCAGGATTATGGGAGGAGCCTGGATGATGGAGTGGAGGATGGTCAAGGGAATGATGGATAACACCACCAGGGGGGCCAGCAGGGCCACAGTCTCAAGGCTTGAGCCTCTCCTCACTTGCCACTCTTACTAAAGGAACTGTGAAGCTAATAAATGCTTAGCTAGGAAAGATTGAAGGCTATGGATAATTTAATATCAGAATATGAAATCCAGTTGACTGCTTCAGAAGACCAGAGAAACCCATCTCCGAAGTGAATGCAAGAGCCTCCACTTTCCTTAAAGTTGGATGAGATGATGCAAGACTTGAACATACAAAGCTAGTGGTTCCCAATCTTTTTCTACCTCCACATAATTCATACCACTAGCACCCACCGTTACACCCATGAATTTGTCCTCAGGGCTCAGAGTGTTTCTGAATCTTCTGGGGGATTGTGAGAGGCAGAGATGTCCACTGCTGATCCCTAGAACCTGTGAATATGGTGCCCCACATGGCCAAAGGGACTTGATGTGATTACATTAGGATTTTGAAACAACGAGACTATCCTGGATTACCCCGGTGGATCCAGTGTTATCACAAGGGTCGTTATAAGAGAGAGACAGGAGGGTCCAAGTAAGAGAAGGAGATATGATGACAAAAGCAGAGACTGGAGTGACACAGGGCCATAAGCCAAGGAATGTGCGTGCCCTCTGGAACCCTAGAAAAGGCAAGGAAACGGATTCATTCCCTAGTGCCTTCAGAAGAAATGCAGTCCTGTTGACACCTTGATTGTAGCCCTGTGATAGACTTCTGACCTCCAGAATGATTAAATAATAAATTTGTATTGTTCAAGCCACTAAGTTTGTGGTCATTTGTATCTGCAGTAATAGCAAACTAATGTAGGGGTTATATGTGATTTGGAAGTTTCCACGAATGGATGCTGATACTGTGCCCGAAGGGATGGTGTATCCCCCTGGGAAGCACTGGATCCAGGGAAGGGAAAGTGTAGGCATTCTGCCTAGGGTTGGCAACTCGAAGGGAACTAGGGGTTTGTGTTTTGTGGAATGGTTCTCAGTTCTTACAGAAATGTGGGGATTGGTTGAGTAGGAAAAGTCTAACAGTCTGGCTGAGTAGGATGCTCGGACTCTTTGGTGAGCTTGGGACAAGGACTTTTGTCTGGTAGTAAATGTAACGTCTAGGGGAGAGGCAGCTGCACTTGCAGAAATGGACGAGGATAGTAACTGGTTAGAATTATGTTGAGTCAGCTGAAGGCTGGGGAAAATGGACAAGGGTCCCGATCATGAACTAAGATCTGGCTTTCGGCTACCTCAGATCCCCAGATCACAGAACACAGAAACAACCGCCATTCCTCTTCTTCTTGGAGCTGGAATTTAATGAAAGCCCACCATCTGGACAACCATGAGATCCCCCACTTGATTTCAGTATCTTCTTGGTGCTCACAATAACCTTCCCAGGTCAGCAGTATTCCTCCTGATTTGTGGATGAGCAGGAGGAAACTCAGAGTAACTTGTCCAAAAGGACAGAACTGGTGAGTGACAGAGCCAGGAGATCTACGTGCATTGAGTCATTTGCTCAGCAAGCAGTCCTTGAAGGCCTGCAGGAGAGAACTCAACGGCCACATTGAGAACCATCGCCAGCCCCAAGGGCTTGGATTATAGTTGGAAAAACATTGTGTCGCTTAATGACGGGGATACATTCAGAGAAATGCATCATCAGGGGATTTTGTTGTTCAAACATCGTAGAGTGTACCTACACAAACCTAGATGGTATCACCTACTATACACCTAGGCTGTATGGTACTAATCTTATGGGACCTCCATCATATATGCGGTCCTTTGTTGACCAAAATGTCATTATGCAGTGTGACAACTTAAAAAGCAAATTTGCCTATTATTTTACTCTCAAAATGAGTTTATTCAGGAATAGCCAAAAGAATTGCGATTTGGGATGTGTATGCTATGGGGAACCGTAGGCAAATCCAGAGAACAAAGGAAGGAAGCTGGCCTTTATAGAGAAAAAGAGGGAGTAGGGAGTGGCTGTTCTAAATGAAAGTTCAGGGGCTGGTCTGGTGGTGTAGTGGTTAAGTGTGCGCAGTCCACTTCAGCGGCCTGGGGTTTGCAGGTTCGGATCTCAGGTGCAGACCGACACACCACTTGTCAAGCCATGCTGTGGTGGAGTCCCGTATAAAATAGAGGAAGATGGGCATGGATGTTAGCCCAGGGCCAATCTTCCCCAGCAAAAAAAAAAAAAAAAAAAGAGGAGGATTGGCATCTGATGTTAGCTCAGGGCTAATCTTCCTCACACACACAGACACACGAAATAAATAAATAAATGGCAGTCCATTAGAGTAAAGAAACAGTTTAGGGTGGTGACTGCTTGTCATTGGCTGAGCTGTGGCATTTCTCATTGGCTGAGCTGTTGTTGGGCACTGCGAGAAATCTTCCTTCAGTTGTAAAGTGGTTGTACTTCCTGTCAGAGATGCAAGGATACCTCTCTTCCTATTTGAAATAATTGACAATGTGTGATAGGGCGTGA